GTGCAGTATGTCTGCCTACAATCTGACTTCACTTGCAGGAGTACTAGAAGGAATTCTATCAAATGTGTTGCAAAGCAGAAAAACAACTGTGGATATAACCTGCATCTTTTTTGTTGGTCTACAATATATTTTTGCTGACATTACAAAATGTTAATTTTTCAGATTCTATAAAGATGTAGTGCAAAACACATGAATATACACTGTGGGGCTGTTAGTAGGGAACAGCAGTGTTTAGTGGCAAATTGTGGATTACCCAATATATGAATTAAGGAGTTGTGCACTGTACTTGAGTCTCTTCTGGTTTCCATCAACAACTTATGAAAGCCACAAGTATACATTGTTACAGTGACATTGAATCCAGACACTTTGGCCTGTTAAATGTGTGTGAACAGCCCCACTGTGTATACCTGTGGTTTGCATTGTAGATCTGTAGAACAGTCTTCCAAGTGTGGATTGCAGAAAAGATTAAGCTTTCCTGAAAATGCCTAACAGGTCACTGACTTTCAATCAGACCTGAGACAGCATTTGATTCCCATCATATACTAGGCTAGAGCATGCTGTCTGAGCCCTCTCCTTTCTTGCCTCCATTAAGATTTGACATTTTTAAAGTATACTGTAATATGAGGCAGCAGTCATGGATGCATATCTAAGTGTAAAAACCAATCCACACTTCAGCCTTAAGAGCATTATTAATAGTAATGCATTTCCCCCCATATCTACAGCTTTTAATATTGAATGCAGGAGGATTTGTCTACGCATAGGAGTATGTGTTTCTGCATTAAATAACATACATTTTCACCCTTTTTTCCCTGGAAGCTAGCAAGTGTCCTTTGGAGCAAAGAGTTAGTTCAACAATTTAGCATGTCAAAGAAGAATGGACTTTATTCTGTTTTCATTAGAAAACTCAACTGCTTCCGCATTTGTAGCAACTCTTGTTTTTATACAACTGAAAGTTTCAGAAGCTATCTGTATTAGAAAAGCCCCTTGACTTTATGTTGCTTTTAAAGGATTTCTAATTTTTATTGTTAGCTTAAATCATTAACTGAATTAATTATACTCTACTCCCACCCTCATATGCATAACTACGACATCTCAACTTCTTTTACTGCTATATGTTAGAATCAAGCATTCACCTTGAAATTAAGAGTGCCAGAAAAGGTTGTTCAGTCTACATTTTCAAGAACAGCCCAATTTGCACTTCCTCAAATAACACATGGATCAGAACATAGTTATTAATAGGACAACGTACCTCTCTGACTTTTGCCAAGCAGTAGTCTACTCTAAAATGCATTAAAATGTGCATTCCAGGAAACCATTAAACAGAAAATGGAAAATGTTCATTTGCTTTACAAAAATTGCTGAAAACAGGAGAGGACAGTCTTATTGAAGATATGTAAAACTGACGCAGCCCAGAAATAGACTGATCTGTCCATTCCTACTTGATATATATATATTTTAAAAATAGCAAATGTTTCTTTAATGGAAGAATTACAATGGCAGCAAGACCAGGGACAGACAACTTGGTAGTCTGCAGATGTTTTTAACTCTGGCTCCCATCAGCCCCAGATGACATGGCCAAGAGTCACAGCTGATAGGAACTGATATACTGTGCACTTGGAGGGCATCAGGTTGCCTTCCACAATAAATACATTCTCTGCTGTGGAAATGTAAACAGAAAACAGGCCTATAGCATTCCCCAGTCAGCATTAATGGGAGCTGAATGCCTCCTTTTCTTTCCAAACTTCTATAGGATTATGCCATGTGTTACTTATCTCTAGTATACAGTGGAGAACAACACAAATCAGTTAAGGGGCTGTTTTCTAAAACCTGTATAAATTATAGAAAATAATTGATTCAGATAGGCAAATTGGCATATGCAACATTTGTTTTTGCTTCTGCAAATCAATGATGGGTGCAAGCTCTGTCATTCCTCCCCTGCTCTATTTTACCAAGGTATCTGCAAATTTCTTCTGAGCCCTCCTGAAATGTCATCAGGCACTGCTGCCACACTTTCAAGACTTATCCCTGCAGCCCTAATGGCTAGATAGATTCCCAAGGAAGATGCATTCTACACCAAGCTTCTCATTTGTGCTGGGAAATGGCCTAATGCACACTAATCCTGTTTATATTATTCTGGATTGCTCCCTGACGAGGACATTTATCAACCACTTTTTGTCTTTTAATTCATGTTTTTTAGGCATTGACAACACCGCTGAATCCACAATATCCACACACAGTGGGACATATGATCTGCAGCTCTCTTTCATGAGGAAAATACTACAAGATTTTATGTTTTTATTTCCATTGATTGCATAGGTGACCTGTCCTTGCAAAAACAATGACAACAACAACCTTGCATAGGACAAACACTAAAGAAAAGGACATTCTGTGATTCCAAGAAAGATTACTCACTGGAATATGGGGCAATGTCCCCCAAGCTGCTGAGGGAGGCGAATAGCAGCCCTCACCGCACAATGTGGCTTTATAGGTGGCACTCTGCCACTAGAAATGCAGACTTGTGAAATTTGACCGAGTGGCATTTTGTGTATCTGTGTGATTTGGGGGTGCTTCCGGGGGCAGTGGAGGGCCTGCACTGGGGATAGAATAGGACATGCAGCCTACATGTTGCTTATCCAATATTCAGGGTTCACAGCAAAGTGAGTCTTGCAAGGCAGAAAATCTTCCCTGCACCATTTGCTTCTCTTTCCTTTTTAAAGAAGAGATACACGAACATGGAGAGACAAAGAGAGAGTGTGCAACTAAAGAGTTACACACTGAACGAGAGTTACACATCTCATGACGGAGAACTATCACCATGTTACTTGATTCTATCATACATTGCACCTTTGCCCCAATTCTTGGCATTGCAGCTGATTCCACAGCAACTTCTTGTAAACCATGAAGTTGAAAGGTTAACGGAAAAAACGAACAGTCACAGCATAGACAGCAAGGGAGAAATAAATATCTTTGCTTGCTTCCAAAATATACAGCTATGGAGTTTAAGCCCTGCAGATAACAGTTATTCTCAACAGCCATTGCAGAAGCATTTTAAAATGCAGTTTTGGATTCTAGTCGCCCCCAAGAAGTTTCTTGAAAACAAAAATGAGCTCAGGAGGCTACAACTAGATGAGTATGTGTCATAAATTAATTGATTTAAATATCCGTAATGATTAATTCAACAATTTGTCAAGGATGTGAAACTTTTATTGCAGTTACTTAAGAGGAAATTGTACAGAAGTAAAAATGTGAAGCCATGCTCCTACTCCAGCTGAACTTATACTGGCTATTGCGGCCCCCAAGGCAGGGGTGTGTATCAAGAGCCTGGTGTGCAGCTGGCCTACCATACTCCCTGTTGGCCTTATGAAGTCAAAAGAGGTAGGCTACACCGCTACCATTAAAAGGTGTGTGGCCTCCAGAGCAGTCATTTAGATCATGGTGGCTGTGTCAGAGGGACCGTCTTCCCAATGCAGCTACTGGGAACCAAAGGATACACCTGCTCCATATCTCCTCCCTCCGTGATGCACACACTCAAATTTCACAATTATTTGCCAGTCCAAGATAGTGGACATATATTCTGGTTGATGCTATACAATTTACACTATCTTCCTAGAGAAATAATCCTTTGTTCCCATGAAGTCCCTATTGAGCTTGGAATCAGACCATTCCATATTTTAAGGCAGCTTTTAGCCAATATAGCTCAACTATAAACAGCATGAATGTGGAAATTGCTGAGGAACATTAAATATACCAATTTCATTCTGGCATGCAGGACCGAGGGCAAAGTGGGCAGTTTCAGGCACTGCACCGTTTGACATAGCCTTGCATTTTGTAAGGGCTCCTTTTGCTTGGAACATAAGAAAAGCCAGGCAAGATCACACCAATGGTCCAGCTAGTCCAGCAATCTGTCCATGCTGTGGCAAACCAGGTGTTGACAGGAGCCTTCAAGCAGGATGGGTATAAGAGTTGAGACAGCCCAAGCTCCTCAGCAACTGGTGCATGCAGGGATTCCACCTCTGATAATGGATGTAACACATACCTAGTAAGGCTAGTAACTATGGGTAGTCTTCTTTTCCACGAATTTATCCAATCCCCTTTTCAAGCCAGACGAATTGGTAGCCACCACAACTTCCTGTAGCAGTGAATCCCATAGTTTAGCTATATGTTGGGTGACAAAGTACTTCTTTTTATCTGTCCTAAATCACTCACCAATCAGCTTCATAAGATGACCCCAGATTCTAATATTATGAGGGAGGAAAAACGGTCTTTCTCTCTATTTTCTTCACACCATATATACTTCAAACACCTCTATCACATCCCTCCTTACTTGCCTTTTTTCTAAGCTAAATAACCCCAGTTGTTGTAACTATTTCTCATGGGTGAATTGTTTCAAGCCCTTCATCATTTAGCTGCCCTCCTCTGCACTTTCTCTGCTTCCATGTCAATCTCTTGATTTCTCAAAGGTGCTATACAGATTGAATATCAAGATGTTAACAGTCCTTCACCTTCCCATATCAAGTTGATCATCTTCAGTGGTCTGAGTTTAAGAGCAGAAATCAGTAACATCGTCACAGCTTGTACAGTCTTTGTGCAGCCTCAGACACTCTGTGGAGCAAATCAAGCAGCTGCTCCTTACCAAATAAAATCTAAAGTGTTGGGGGGGGGGGGAGGAGAGGGAGTGGGAAGAGCGTACACAACAAAAGAAACCCTGTCTAAAATTTGGAGGCAGTATTCCAATTAAACAGATTGGAAAAAAGAACACTGCTTCTTGGAGGTAGTTACCTCCTTGAAAAAGGCCTTTATATCTCATACCGATTAACACAAATCCCAGCTTAGTTGGGGACAGGGGGAAATGTTGCAGTTCAAAACACACCAGATTAAGACAACACAGTGACCCTAAATTACTTTTCCCACAGCACACAATCACTCAATTTCCATGTATTTAAAAAAGGGGGTTAACCATAAATCATTTAACTAGCGATAAATATTTGTTTAGGGGCTACCTTAACGTTGAATGTTATTTCCTCCATGACGTAAACTCGTTCAGGAAATGCTTTAGCCACCTCCTCCACACTGTTAAAATACTGCACTGGCTCCTTAATATCACGGTCTTGTTCCAGCAGCTTAAACTGCCCTGAAAACAGATGATAAATAGAAGAGCAATAAGATATTTATATTGGATGTCTGTTTCTGTGGCAACCGTTAACGCACTCTCTGCACTATTTAACTTGGTCAGTCTCCTCCAATTATTAACAGTTAGGCAATGGAAGAACAGATTGCACAAGCCTGAAAACCTGAAAAGGAAAGAGCTACTAAGCTTGGCTAAACCGGAATTAGAAGAATGTGTGGGGGCTGACATGAAATTTAATAGAATATACAGGCAGGCTCTCTGGAGTCAACTGAAAGCACTAATACATTCTCAGGGTGGAATTATGTACAGGCTTCTGTACAGCTAGAACTTTTTCACCATGTTACATACTTGAGCGTATAAAGATACTACCTCAATTTTTATAAGAAAATATACTTGGGGTGGGGAAAAGAGAAAAATGTTGATGTTTAAGAGAAAAAACATGTGGTGTCCAAACCACAAAAAGGCTTCCCAAAAACCCTGTTAAGGAAACCAAGTTTAGGCACTCACATCAGAGTCCCCATTCCCGTTTTCCCCTTTTGGCAGGAATTCCTTTGGTTCTTTCAGCTGTCCCTGGCTTTGTGGCTAGCCCATTCGGTGATGATGGTAGAGGTTGCCCACTGAAAGTGTGAAGGGAGATGGCGTACATTTCTTGAAACTGTCTTTATGAACAGGGGTCCCAGTTTAGATACACTGACAAAATGGGGCTCAGCTGACAAATTACAGCAGTGCCGAGAAATATAGGAAACAGTTCCTACTGCTCCTCGAATTTGAATATGCTTGACATATCTCAAAAAATATGGCTTTTGAGAAATCTAAGCATTTATTTGATAGATACTGCTGATGGAATCACTGATATCCATGAGTTGCTGTAATTCATAGGAACTGATTATCAGCAGTATGCATTTATATAGTACCAATAGGGTGCACTGGTTATATCAGCCACCAAAAATTTAGACTGTGTTTCAGGTGGATAGATATATGCAAATACATCAAAATTATTAGCCTTTCTGGGTCCCTTCACAACTCAGATGAAAGCTTCATTGCAGCACATCATAAGAAAGGAATAGGCCATCATGACATGTACTCCTGTTTAGTTAGATGGACAAATCTTAGTTTAATGCTAATAAGTGCAGGAACTTATTTTTTAAAAAGTGTTATTTAGAATACTTTGTTCGCACAAATGTAAACTTGAATTCCAATTCAAACAGATTAAAGTATTTGCAAAAGCAACACCTCCTATCCTGCCAGATACAATGATTTTGTATTACAAATCTTTGAAACATTGAAAAATGTTGATTCTGTTTGGGTTAATTTGCATTTTTATTTCTAGCATGGTACAGCTATATATATGAAACTCCATTCTCCCAATGCATAGAATGCAAACTGTCTTAATGTTCTCACATGTTTATGGGCCAACTTTATTCATATTAGAATATTTGGTTTATGTACCACACATTTCTTGTTAGTAGGGGACAGTTATATAAAGGAAAGCGGAGGATGGAAAATGTATAGTCATTGGAACATACTAGAAAAGCACTACTGGTAATTTTTGGAAGTCCTTGCAAGAAAACAGCAGGAAATGTGTTGCCCTGTGTTGTGTTGTAGTTATGTGTTGACCAGTGATCTCCAACTTATGGAGACCCTATGAATGAAAGACCTCCAAAATGCCCTATCCATGACATCCCTGCTAAATCCAAGGCTGTAGCTTCATTTCTGGAGTCAGTCTATCTCTTGTTTGGTCTTCTGCCTTTGACTTTCCCTAGCGTGATTGTCTTCTCCAGTGCATCTTGGCTTTGCATGATATCTCTAAAGTTCCACAGTTACAGTTTTGGCATTTTTGCTTCTAGAGAAAACTTCAGATTGAGTTGATCTAAGATCCACTTGTTTGTCTTTCTGTCAGCCCTATCCACAAAGCTCTCCTCCAGTACCATGTTTTAAATGTATCAGTTTTCTTCCCATCAACTTTCTTCAGTGTCCAGCTTTCACACCTATACATAGGGATGGGAATACAATGGTGTGGATGATCTTGGCCTTGATCTCCTATGAAACATACTTGCTGATTTTTTCCAGTTCCTTCACTGCCGCTCTTCCAAATCTGAGTCTTCTTCAAATTTCTTGGCTGCAATTCTCTGAATTGATGGCTGAGCTAAGCTATAAAAAAACACAATTTTGTTTTTTCATTGTTGACAGAACAGTTTTGCGATTCTTCTGTAGTCATGATTTTCGTTTTCTTAAGATTTGGCTATAGTCCTGCTTTTGCACTTTCTTCTCTCACTTTCATCAGGAGTAATTTCAAGTCATTGCTGCTTTCTGCCAGTAAGATATTATCATATCTTAAATTATTGATGTGTCTTCTGCCAATTTTCACTCTTTCCTCTGACCCCAATCCAGCTTTTCTCATAATATGGTCTGTGTACAGATTAAATGGATAGGGAGATAAGACATAGCCTTTTCTAACACCTTTGCCTATAGGAAACCGATCTGTTTTCCCATATTCTGTCCTCCCAGTAGCTTCTTGCCCATGATACAGGTTATACATCTGGACAATCAAGTGCTTTCAGAACCATTCACAGCTTCTCCAGAGGGTTAAAAGCTTTGCTGTAGTCTATAAAGCATAAACTGTTTTTCTTCTGAAATTCTTTGGTGAGCTCTGGTAGCCAATGTTTATTTGCAATATGATCTTTAGTGCCTCTTCCTTTTTGGCATTTTTTGCTCCATATGGGGTATTATTCCTTGTTGCAACACTTCTAGCACCACTCTGCTTGTGTGGAAAATTAATGCAATGTCCTACGGCTGCTGTACTCTTTTGCATCTCCCTTCTTGGAGACTGGATGTATACTGAACACTTCCAGTCTGTGGCCATTGTTTTGTTTTCCATATTTGCTGGTGTATTCTTGTTAGGATTTGGACCGTTTCAGTTCTATGTTACTTAGAGTGAAAACAGGCTAAGCAGAACATGCCTTCATGGCTTCAAAAGTCCTGACTGACTATGCTAAATACATCAGGCAGTAGCAGGAGCAACAACTTTTGAATGAATGAGCTATATCGTACCACAGATCTTCCTTCTCCGAAATTCTAGCAACACAGGAATACTCAGCACATGGGAACTAGCACATGTGGCATTCTGAAGCAGTGATTAGGCAATCAACAGTTTGCTTTCATCCTCTCTTAATTCCATTATATCTGGAAATTTTAAAGAAAAGGATTGAAACGGTTACAAGTGTTCAGTGTAGTAATGCCATGCTACAAAGACTTGAGAGGGGAAGAGTCTGGCAGTACAGACTCCCACTCAGTTGCTTTTTATTATTTTTCTGAAAAGCCTTGCTGAGTTTGCTACTTTTTACAGCAGCGGCTCATTTTTAATAGAAGGCCTTGTTTCATTCATCACAAACATGCTTATTAAGCGTTCTTCTGTGCCTTCAGGTTTTGACCCTGGTCCATGTTAAACAGACCATGGTGGAAGTGTAGGATGCCGTATAGTAAAAAATTCCATCTGACAGGGACAGTTATGTAAACATTTCTGCTTCTGCCTGGAAATCTGGACTGAACAAACAAGCCTTGAAAGAAAACCTGCTTTCAGAAAGCAGCATTTCTGAAAATGTACATCGATCAATTCCATGTAAAAGAGTGCTTTTGTTTTGCAAACAGGAAGCTTTTAAATTTACTGAATGAGAGAAAATGTTAAAAGATAAACTACATAGCCTTTGGCAATATATATTCATACCATATCATAATGTGGGATGATATTAATCCTTGTCTAGCCAGAGTAAAGCATTTAAAAAGTCAGTAGCCATAAAGTGTGTATACATATGGAAAATAACTTTATATTTTCACTGTTTAAGAAAAGGGTATTCCTGTTGATTGTTGAACACAGCAGTTCTGCAGTGTATGATTTGTAGCTTATAGCATACGTATTGTTTGCACTTTTCTCTGACAGGGTACCCACACTAGAAAGAATGTAGAGATATTTATCCCTCATCTAAGATGTCGTACTGCATGCATGTCTTTTACTCCTAATCAAGAGTGATAGGACATGAAGGGCGCATTCCTATGCACATTTAAACACACAAACAAACAATTCCAGCATGGTTGTTTGTGGAATGCTGGAAGTTGTAGAGCTTTTTTCTGTCTAAAAAAGCACAGGATTGTACCCTAACACTTTACAAAAACATTCAATTCACTTGTATGTAAGAATAGTGAACAAGCAGATTTCTCTATTATACTGAAGGAGTTTTACGATGGTTAAATATAAATAGTATGTGTATTTGTTATTTGCATTTCAATACTTTAAATGTAAAATTATTGTAGATTAAAAAACACACAGATGAGCCAGCCTGGCAGCTCTCTTAGCTAGTTTTTGAAATGCTCAGTTCAGAAGTTATTTTGAGCCACCCCAAAATAGTGTCAGATAACCATTTATAATAAATAGCTTAAAGTGCATGAAACCATCTTACAGTACTGTGGGAAAGACAGTTCTACATGGCAAGCATCTTCCCAATGCCATAACTGCTAAAATGGCATTATAAAGCAAATATACTAAAAGTAGACAATAAAGTGACAAGAGGCAAGTTGGTTTTCTTATATTCTTGATATTAAACTTGCATGTATCAGTTTGGTGATTAAAACCTTATCAACAACAGTTTTAAAAAGCACATTATTGATGGCATTCTAGTGAAAAGTCAAAGCTCGGGCAGAATGCAACATTGTCAGTTTGCAAATCCTACCTTTCTTTAAGCTTTTGACTGACTTTGTTGCATTCCTTTCATTTATTGCATTTTTATGCCACTTAACAGCCAGCTGTCTGGGTGACTCACAGCAATAAGAGAGAGCATCAGTTACATCATTAAAATGCATCAGAAGTTTATAACTAGTTTCTGTGATGCCACACTGGTCTTATGTATCTGTTGTCCTAAGCTTGCAAGGCTCTCTGTGACTCTGGGTGCCACTGGCCCATACGCTTTGGGCACAGACTGTTTCAGGGCAATGGAGAAACGTTCTGCAGA